GATGGATGGATAGATAGATAGATAGATAGATAGATAGATAGATAGATAGATAGATAATGATAGAAAAGAAATGATAACAGATATGAATCTATAAACTCAACATTTGATTGGCTGTAGTTCAGCAATCTTCCGAGTTAATGGCAAAATCTGCTGAAAAAGGATATGCTGTGCTAGAATATCAGCAGAAATTGAGGAAATATGGAGATAGGGCACTGGGGAGATCAGCAGGCTGTTGGGGTTCATTTGGGGTTGCTAAGAGGAAGAGGGGAGAGACAGAACAACACACTCTTCTTTGATTGCCATTTTTCACACCTACTTAAGCTGAAGACAGTTTGGTGCAATGCGGGAAACTGGAAGATCACGAGTTCTAGTCCTGCCTAAAGGCACAAAGCCTGCTGGGTGACCTTTAGTCAATCACTCTCTCATAGCCCTAAGAAGCAGACAGGGGCAAGCCACTTCCAAAAATATTGGCAAGAAAACTGCAGTAGGTTCTTCAGACAGTTGCCAGGAGTCAACACCGACTTGAAGACATACACCTCACAAGCCCAAATTAAAAAAATGTAACAAATATTTTGCCTTTATAGCCTACTTTGAATGGGATACACTCCATCCATAAGTCATGTCAATTCACACAAATACATGGTATATCATGTATTTGTCATATCATGGTACGGTATTATATAATTATTGGCATTTCATTCTAGTGCCAGGAATGTGATCAGCAGTTACTGTATATCACTAAGATATTCTAAGAACCTCTATACTTCACTGACATAATAACTTTGATTTTGTTTCATTATTATTTTTCAAGATCTGTTACTGAAATGTAATAATTTTCTCTTATTGTTGATTTTTCTATATTTTTTTCTATAAATAGAATAGAATAGAATAGAATAGAATTCTTTATTGGCCAAGTGTGGTTGGACACACAAGGAATTTGTTTCCAATGCATAAGCTCTCAATGTACATATAAGTAATAGTGATAATCATGATCATATACAGTACAACATGAAAATACATTTATACTATATTCTTTTTTTAAAAAAAAATGTTTTTTTAAAAATGTTTCAGTATCTTCCAAGGAGAAGACTGCAAAACAAGAGAAAAAGAAAGCAGCTTCTTCCCCAAAAGGTAATTTTGCTAAGTTTACTTTACTGAGAAATAATTCAACAAACATCATATTTTTGATGGGAGGGGGCAGAACTGAATGCAGAATACTCCCGTGTAACTCTTTTTACAAGAGAGTTTCTCCATATAACTGCTATTGAAATGGCACAAGAATGTGTGAGTCCAGCTATCTTCTGTATGATGTCTGTCAAGGTGTATATCCTCTCTTGGATTTTCTTCTCCAAGCACTTGGATTTATTTTGGATTTTCTTCTCCAAGCACTTCAGTGGGTGAACTCTGATGAAATACTGTAGGAATGGTTTAACATAGGTTGCTTTATTCAAAGGACTGTTATTCTTTCATTACCCATATTTGTTTTTTATCATCAGATTGCCTGTGAAACCTTAGCATGTGACAAAACTACTGTGCACAAATTTTCCTAGGCAGGTGCCTCTTTGCAGTCAGAGGCAAGACATTTGTCTATTTGTATCCCACCTTTATTATTTTTATAAATAACTCATGGTGATGGATGTATCCAACACACTTTCCTATTGTTCCACAATAACAACTCTGTGAGATGAGTTGGGATGAGAGAGAGTGACTGGCCCAAGGTCACCCAGCTGGCTTTCAGAGCTATGGCGGGAATAGAACTCACAGTCACCCCTTTCTAGCCTGGTGTCTTAACCACTAGATGAGGGGTTTTCAAACATGGCCTTTTTATGACTTGTGGACTTCAACTCCCAGAATTCCTCAGCCAGTTTGCCTGGCTGAGGAATTCTGGGAGTTGAAGTCCACGTCATAAAAGGGCCAAGTTTGAAGACCCGTGCACTAGATCAACCGATTGGTATTTTAAGGTAATGGTGGTGATTGTTTTTTCCCAAATTAGTGGCAGAGAAAACTTTGTAACAAACCTTTTACCTGCATATCACTTTTTCATTAAGTGAGGCTATTTCTGAGGTTGTTTGTATTGCATTATATGTGACTTTCGTCACATCTAAAAATAGAGGTTCACTTTGTGCTCTATTATTTACCACATCCACTTTTTTATTCCTCTATTACTAAGCTCTCTCACTGACAGTTTCATGTTTATTCTACAGCCAGAGAGGGGAAAAAAAGATGCTGGGATAAGCTGTTCATTAAATTGCCACAAATCTTGTAGGGTAGACGTTCTGAGAGAGGAAGTTTGCAATTCCTTTTATTGGCATTGTATTTTTAAATAAGCTTTGGGAGAAAGTACAGAGGAATCTATATGTTTCTCACTGATTTCATTTTCTTCACTCTTCATATGTGTGCATTTGTGTGGAAGGGTAGGATAAAAACTACCTTTAAGTCTTTATATTTAGGTGCTTACTATAAAAGTGTTAACTCTACCTCATATTCCAATTAAACTGGATATTTCTCACATGTCTACTCAAAAGTAATCCTCACAGAATTCAATAGGGTTTATTCCAAAAAAAGTGGATACAAGATGGCAGTAATTCTATGGAACTTAATGGGAATTGTTTCTAAGTAGATAACATAAAGTGGCACTTTATGGTATATTTATGATCTTTTCCCTGATTTTTGTGATTCACAGAGTGCCACTTATATTAAAACAGAATAAAATTCTAACTTAAACATTAACAGCAATCACTATTTGACTGAATCTTCATTTTAACAGATTAAATGTGAGAAAGGATATTCAGGAATGCCATCCGCTCAGCCAGTAAGACATTGTGGGGTTTTACATCCTTTATAAATAATGATTTGCACAGAAATGATGCAAATGGCAGAAATTCTGTCATTTGCATAATGGTGATATATAAATCAGAATAATTTTTGCAGCTTGCAAAGCATCTTGCATCAAGTTTGGTAAAATTAGGTTTGTTATATTAGGAACTAGAGCCTCAGGCTCCACCAGTAAATAAACCAATAGGTGTCTAGCTTTCCCAGTATAAGCAGAATAATTCCTAAGGCCTTATTGAGGAGAAAAAATAAATGTCTCTGATTTCAGCCGGTCACATCCTAATGGAAACTGCATTAATAACATTGCTCTTGAAATCTTATGTCTATTCTGTCACAAAGAACACTTGTGAAGCTATTCAGAGTTGGAGCTGTTCTGGTTAACACAGGTGATAATGGAACTGTTATCAAGAGAGATGGTTTTGGTGTTGCTTGTATATTGGAGAGTGCTTGAAAAATAAGTTCCAACGTTTTGAACAACTCAGAAGCCATAAACAGTTTTTTTCTGAGCGTGCTACACTGTGGATGAATAGGTTTGTTTTTCTTAGCAATTCATTGGAACATTGGCATAGAAGCCATGGTGGCACAGTAGTTAAAATGCACTATTGCAGGCTAATTCTGCTCACTGCCAGCAGTTCGATTCCCACCGGCTCAAGGTGACTCAGCCTTCTATCTGGTCTGAGGTCGATAAAGTGAGGACCCAGATTGTTGGGGACAATATGCTGCCTTTGTAAACCGCTTAGAGAGGGCTGTAAGCAGTATATAAGTCTAAGTGCTATTACTATTGTAGCACTAATTTTATTTGTAAGCCTCCCAGAATGGCTTTGCAGAGTGATATGGGCGGCATATAAATTTAATACATAAATAAATTGTGTGCAAGATGTGGTCTCCAAATTGTCTTCAAAGACAGCTCAAGGTAAATGGTGTTAAAAAATAAGCTCTGTAAGGGTTCTCTTTCTCTGACAAAGGTTAGAACTTGAAAGTTACTCTACTCATTACTGTGATCTGCTTCTCCATATTCAGGTAGCAAATTTCTCATCTTCACTACTACAATTCTCCAAAGGGCCAAGAATTACTTTATTAACCCTACCTCTACATTCTGTCGATTTGGCTTAATCATTAGACTGTGACAAACATACCTGCATGTTTAATTAATGATGCAAACTCTTTTAAAATGTTTTCTTCCCCCACCAAATATGAAAGAGTAGTAAGCGAGGACTTTATAATAAAAATAGTATGGAGAATGCCCTGAAAAATCCAGATTCTCAGGTGATGTGGGAAGTCCCATTTAGTTCCTGAGAGGGAGAAAATAGTCTTGAGACTCATCTATTCTCTCTCATTTAAAACAATCTGTTGCTTTTCCACAGCTGGAATAACAGTTCCTACAATTTATGCTCCCTTGTTCTTTTCTGCTTCAGTATAAAATATAATACAAATACGGTATACATTTATTTTGCAAATATGTGTTCTTAAGTCAACTAGGGAAAAAGTGAGGTGATGTAGATGACCTCAGTTCTTCTCTTATTTGTCTCTCTGTATTGATGGGAATATCTGCAGGAGAACTGTACCTTTATGTTTGTTTTGCCTAGTTACATCATTCTACAGCTCTGAGAACTCAGTTCATTCTTATAGATATGTTTTGTTTTAAAAATGGAGCACTTGAAAATGATTTGTGTATACGAAGATTGAGATTATGTAAATAGCGTGATGATCTGTTGTATCAAAGTACTATATTACTCCACTGTTTGTAATTTGCGCCAAACATACCAGGAAAATGGATCTGATGTGTCTTGAGCCGATCCACATTGTTAGGTGGCAGATGATAGGTATGATTACCTAAGTGTTCTGCATCACATTCTGCATTTTAAAGGATAATGGAATTAAACAACAAAATTACCTGAAAACATCTCTTTTCAAAGGAATTAAAGATCATGTATCTTAGTGTAGTTCTGTTTATTATATAATAAAGTGCTGGTAAAGTAATGTTAACATCTTTAGTGAGGATTACATAACATTTTGCTATTTAACTCTTCGAATTAAATCCACAGTAACATTCCATAGATATGGGATTCCCAGTCCACATCAATTATTTTTACTTAAATGAACAAATTCATATTTGTGTTTTATAGATTGATTGGTAAAATCAGCTCATTTTCTCATTTTAGTAACAGAAAAAATGAAAACTGAACAGCAAGAAAGGATGGGAAAAAAAGTTCCCACAAAAGGTATTTCTTTAATCCTTAATAATATTCAGGAGTGAACTTCTTTAACTTCTTTAATCATATAACAGGAACAGGAATACAGAGGCCAAATCACCCCAGGAGGCTATTAATAAACTAATGATAAAGCCAGTAAGATTTAAACATTAATATGAATCACATCAGATGTGGAATTCAGCTCTCCAAATTCTCAGCAGTAATTGGAAAATTCTGTGAGTTGAAGTTTACATATCTGGTTATGGCCAAGTTGTAAAATCCTTGTCTAAATGTTACTTTATTCTTCTATTGTGCAGAATTTAAATCTTAAGATTAATTGTTGTTAAATGTTGAGACATCTAAGAATTGTTTGGATGTGTTATTATTTTGCTATTGTCACACTATTGTTTTACTCAGAAAACTAGAGAAACAATAATGTCATTAAATACAAGTGTGTCCAAATGCAAGTAAAAAAAACTAGGCATTCTTCTCTTGAAATTACTTTTTAAAAGTCTGTAGGTATTTGAACCAAGAATTAGGTCCTGTTTAAACAGTGTGCTTAAAACAGTTGTTCTGCAGTTTATGTTTTTCACTAATAGTTAATAATGACACTGTGGTCTTTTAAAACTTCATAAGCGGTACTGAAGATATTTTTAATGCCATATGGCAGGGAATTGTGAACCTAAAACATTTATGTTGCATGCAGATAAAAAGAGCATCCAAGTTGAAGAAAAGTTAAAAAAAGACGTGAAAGAAAAAAAACCCGAGGCCAAGGCACCTGAAAGACTAAAGACCAAGGAAATCAAAGCAGCGGAAGTGACATCACCAAAAGCCAAGGGAAAAAAGGAGACTGCCTTGGCAGTCAGAGAAAAAATCGATCATAAAGGTAAAAAATATCAGGAGGAGGTCACCAAGGAATGCTGAAGTTCAGGAAGGAATTCAGATTCCCCTTTTTAGAAAGAATTCATAATTGTGAGGGGGGGGGCGCAGGTCTTCCTCTTGAATCCACCAATGTCTTCTTTTAACTAATAATTCTTTTAGGAACAAATTTCACTACAAAAGCATTTCCAGCATAGGAACAAAGATGTGAAACCTCTTGACTATTAGCCTCCATCTAGAGAACGCTCCACATTCTTAAATCTAAGAAGAGAATGTGTCAGGAATTGGAATGAGAAAGGGACAGAGGTAGGCAGAATTTGTAGAACATGGATTTGGAGATCTATGCAGTTTATATCTCTTTCTAAAATACCTGCACTGAATGAGAAAAAAATGGAGGCATGGGGAGGATTGACCTCTCTGAATGCTTTTGACAACATCAGCCAACCAGCCATTTTGCTGGCTCTTCTGCGAGATGTACGTTTCTGGAATGTATATTTCCTTTTTCTAGTCCATCCATCTATCCCTTATGTACCATTCTCAGATGTGTTAAAACAGGGGCCCCCAATTCTCAGGCTACGGACTACTACCAGGCCTTGAGCCAATCGGAACCAGGCTGCGGAAGTGGTGGGCGAGTGTTTGTGCACACATTCCCTCTTGCGTGAGCAGTGGGTGAGCGCGTATGCTCCATTTGTGCTACTCATGGAGAACTACCCAGCCCCCACCCCTGGTCTGCAAAAGTGCAAAGGTTGGGGAATTCTGGGTTAAAAGAATCATATATTACAAGGGGATAAAATCTGAAATCTAACAACAAAGACTTATGTAACTCTGTTTCACTCTGGTGCCAATCTCCAGGAGGAATCCCAGAGGGGAAGAATTCTTATGGATTCTAAAAATCTATCTAGCTCGTTCAAAAAAACACCACAGTAGCCAGTTGAATGCTAGGTAGGACACAACTCTTAGTTACCGGCTGTGGACTCAACCTGGACTTCTTAACTTCTCTCTTAGATGGATAGCCTTACTTGTCCACTTCCACCCAGCACATCCCATTATTTTTCTCATTGCTTTCTTTTCCAAGTGATTTAGCTCTTGCTTGTGGTTCCAGCCAACCACTCTCTTTTAAAAAATATTCCAATTCACAGCCTTTAATGTTCATTTCCTCGTCTTTGTAGTCAGCCAACCAGCTTTTGGTGAGCAACATGGAGAGTCAGTCCTAAATGAGCTGTTTTCAATTTCACTTGAACTTCCCTGCCGTTTGGAATTCCATTCCGCCTTGTGTTTTTTTTCCTTCTCCTTCTTCAAATATTGTACCTCTCCCAAGTCTGCTGATCCTTTTCTTTTAAGCACCGATGGCGGCATTTTGGAAACATCAGGATTCACATGGGGAGATGGTAGACAATACAGATATTATTAGCATTTTGGATATATCTTTTTAATGACTTACAGAATTTTGAAAATTTCATACAAATCTTCCATTTGAGCTGCTTAAGATTTTTGTAGGCTTCCCCCTCCTTTTTTTTCTTTTTAGAGAGAGAGGGAAATGAAAATCTTCCTGTTCATCTCCATGCTGTGCAAAAATACTATATTTTTAAATCTATTTATGGTTAGGTCCCATAATATGAGTTATTTCTTAGAAATTATTAGGATTATCTCTTGAGTAAAAAGGTACTTTATTATATCCTGCCTAAAATACAGGAATCTCCCCAGTCTGGTAGTTCTTTCCTGGGAATAATTAGATAAGACTCCAAGGAATCCAGGGAGGGATGGTTCTGGCCTTTTTATGTTTGCATAGTGACTCTAGCCCCATGCTTCAGCCCTCCTCCCTGCCAGGCTGGATACTCCCCCAAAAGTTCAAATAATTTGCCCCCAAATTTGTATTAAAATGCTTGGGCTTTTTGTTTGGTCTTCTATTACTGCATGCATGTTTCTGCGTACCTTTCCTGATATTTGTATTTCTCCAACCAATCTCTCATAATATTATGTGTTTATATGCATATTTATTCCAATAAACATGTTTTTGTGCTTATTATTACCTAATATATGCATTTTATGTCTTTTTATTTCCTTGTGAATTGCGCTGCCAAACTCAGAAAAAGCGTTAGTTATTTCCAGCAAGCTTGAAGGGCATGAATATTGTAAATCTGTATAAAAATTAGATTGAAAAAAATATATGTCCCAATTACTTGCATTATGAATATGGACATTATTCTTTAGCCATAGCGTATTAGGAAACAAAATCAAAATTTAGATATTTTTTTTAAAAAACCTTGAACCTTAGCATTACTATTCCTTCATACTCGTTTTTCTGACCTGTTCAATCATTTCTGTCTTTTTGACAGATGTGCTATATAGAAATTGGGAGCACTGGTGTTGAGCTCATATCTAAAGAGATTGCTCTCATTACTCTCTGAATGAGCTTTCAGTATGAGTAACATGTACTGATCTGACAAAGGGCTGATAGGGTTATGGAAGGAAGATTATATGAACTTAATATTTCTTCCTTTGGCAGACCAATCCTGAGTGCAGGATTGCCCTACAAGCTGCAACCCATCAGAACAAAAATGGAAATTGGGAGATTTTTGCATTTCCCTGCTATGTCACTTCTGCATAATAACAAGGAGATTTCCCTGCTCTAGATGTAAAGAAAAAGAGGAACATTTGGCTCCTGAACCCTTTCCCAGACATTTTTCATTCCATTGCTTCAGATTTTGTGTTTCTCTGAATTTTTTTTTTTTTTAAAAAACCTATTAATCTTTAAAATCTGCACTTTATGATAAAATATGGTTAGAAATGTGTGTTTATCAGATAACGCAGCTATAAATATTTTATGAGGAAAGTATAAATACATATATTTAAATATGTGTTAATGTATGCATTTTGGTGGCAGGCTTTAAAAATATGTTTGGCAGAATGGATACATGAAAGTTTATACATGAAATAGCGATGAAATATACTGTATTGATTTTTTTTCATCCCTAGTGGTAACCCATCAGATCAATGTCTGATGCAAACTACAGTGCAGGTACTAGAGTTTTACAGGTATAACCAAAGGTCCTGGGTCTGATCTTATCTAGTTTGTGTTGGAAGAAAATATTTTATTGATAGCTAGAGTGAGGCTGTAAAACTGGTAGTCTTCTCCATCAGTGCTTTTCAGCACCAAGTCTTTTGCCAATTCCAGTATTCCAGTGAAAGACACATCCTAAAGGTAAACAAAAATTGTTTGGTTTCACTGCTGTCCTTTCATCCTCCCCCACCCCCCAAAAAGAAATAGCTCTGAAAATGTAATTCATGGTGTGACAGATTGAAAGATAATACAATTGAAATATACCGTGTAAAGCTTTTAAATTGATAACTGACACATGTGTCATAAGCATAAACCAACCCTTTATCGCAATGCACATGAACTTTTCTGACTGGATTTTTTTTTAAAAAAAAAGCCAGGAGACAATGTGAATTTTCCAAAGATATCCAGAAAGAGTGGATGGAAACTGCAAAGCAAAACTAGGTGACATGCAAATTATATAACTGTTGCAATTAGTGATTTTTTTAAAAAAAAATAATTTTAAGCTATCAGGATTATGTTTGTGATGTGAGAAAGCTGATGTTTTCCCCAAATTCCTTTTTTAAAAAATTCATTCATCCTGGAGTGGACCATGGTTCAGTACTGACCTCCATATCCAAACATTGCCTGCCAAGAAGTATAACCTTTGAACCACAGAAATGCTGGGGGAAAGGATTACACATCCCCTTCCATACCAGTTGATCATAATGCAGAGTGGCCCTTTATGTGCTTCCAGGGAAGCCAGGAAAATCACAGATTGGAGCAGGGCAACACAACTTGTGCGCTATCTAATTTAGACTTCAGTGTAACCACAGCTGATGTTTTCATGCATTCCTCTTCCAGATGAATATCAGAAGTGGCAATTCACAAAGCTGAAAATCCAGTTCTTTTCAGTGGAATTAGTAGAAAAGCATTGCTAATGGAAATGGTCTGTGAAGAGCCCAGGAAGGCAAACTTGACCTAAATTCTTCAGCAAGAGCCCAACATTTTCCATCTGTTGAATGTAGTAGCTTTTATTTTGTAGCAGCTGCAGATAAATTAAAAATAAACATAATATATTTTATTTAATTAAATAAGAAAATAAATTAGAATCAATAAATCATTTTCTGCTGCACAGATTTATCATGCAGTTAATTTTGTTCTGCCTCCAAATGTTTTAATTTTAAATGGTCTGCGGAACTCTTTTTATAATTGGATCACAAATGCTGCCCAAAGGAAACGGAAGATGTTTATTTTTGTGGAGCACAAAACAAATATTATGCTGAAATGACCACTACAAGTTCTGCTGACCGTCCAATGGCCATTGCTATTTTCAAAATTGTCACATAGCCCTACTCATGACTAGAGACAAGAACTTAGAACTGGGGACAGGAACTTGGCCCCAGTGAAACAAAAACAAATTATATCTGAAATCTGAGGGTAGTAAATAGAGAAGTTGTCTTTCTGTACAAATACTCTGTACCAAATGCAAATTATTTTCTGAATGCAAATTCTTTATAGGACTCGTATAACTATAGGAGTGAATTCTTTTGGATTCTACGGACTTATGCATGTATGATTATGTTGCATCAATTTGTTTGTGGATGTCCATTTTGTACATGCCAATATATCTTGTGTTTTTTTTGGATAAATGTGCTTTCTAAAATGAAGATGAGAAGCAGTTTGGTGTAGTGGGTAAGGCACCAGGCTAGAAACTGGGAAACTCTGAGTTCTAGCTGCCTTAGATGTGAAGCCAGCTGGATAACTTTGGGATAGTCTTTCTCAACCCTAGGAAGACAGCAAAAGCAAGCCACTTCTGAAACCTTGCCAAGAAAACTACAGGGAAATATTCAGGGGGTTGTCGAAAGTCAGCAAAGGAGGAGGAGGGAGAAGAGGAAGAGCAGAAGCAAGAAGAGCAGGAGAAGCAGAAGCAGAAGCAGAAGCAGAAGCAGAAGCAGAAGCAGAAGCAGAAGAAGAAGAAGAAGAAGAAGAAGAAGAAGAAGAAGAAGAAGAAGAAGAAGAAGAAGAAGAAGAAGAAGAAGAAGAAGAAGAAGAAGAAGAGGAGGAGGAGGAGGAGGAGGAGGAGGAGGAGGAGGAGGAGCTTAGCGTGATGCTTGATGCACCGGCTTTCAAATGTATATGCTATTTTTTATTAAAATGATTGCGTGTATGGTTTGGCTTAGTTAAGCATCCTCTGAAGTGCAATTAAGACAATTGTTACATAGAATCATAAGCTATATTTAACACTTCTTTTTACATTTTAGCCTACATATAACTTTCTCACTGATTAATTGACAAATTGCATAAATTTGCTCAAGGTCTAATTGATTATTTATATTCACTTGTCCACGTTGATTTTTTTAAAAAAATATTTATTATTTTAATGGGAATTATAGTATTATAACAGAAAATGCCTATAGCATTAAAGTAGGAATTTGTTTTTATCTATTTTCAAAGACAAATATTGAACAGAAAATATTTGATTTTCAATTAAAATATCCATAATTATTTAAAGTAGTTTAAATCAGTCTTAAAATGAAAGTGGTGATTAACAAGTAGATGCAATTGTCCTATAAATAAATGCCAGAAACATTTGGACTAAATTGCCTTGTTTAGGTATGCCCCATTTCATGTTGCTGGACTCAGACGGTCAGCTTTTATCCCCATTGGTCATGACAGGGCTATTGGGATTAATGGTTCAGTCATCTCTTAAAGGCCTCACATTGTCCATCCCTTAGTTAGCTTAACTGTCCATATGGGAAGCATCTAGATTACTCACGTGCAATTCCCTTGGTTAGAAAAAAGAATGAGTTTCACAGTTTTTCAAACTGGCATTCTGTACATGATCTGGGATTGCAAATCCCAGCTATTATGGCCTTTTGTCCTGCTGATGAATAGGTCTAGGAATTTCAGTCCCAGCCCTTGTAGAGGGAGGCTAATTTGGGAAGGTGGAGGTAGGGAAAAGAATTGGTGATTTGGTCCCCAAAACTTACACATGATTTAGAGAGTACCGGCCATTGGAAACACCATCTTTATGCAGAAAGCCTGAAGGAATTTTCTATGGAAGACTCTTAAAAAAGATACAGAAACACCAATGCTATCGTTTGTTTCATGATTGGTTACTTTAAGCAAGAAATAAAAAAGCCATTAAGAGTTTCAGTGCAGTACTGAACTCTTTTTTTAAATTTTTCATTAAAAAACAATCTAATTATGTCTTATTGCTTTTTCCCCCCTTCTATTCTGCCAGATCAATTTGCATTCTGTCGCTATATGATTGACATGTTTGCACACGGGAATTTGTACACAGGTACTTGAAATGAATGTTGTCAATGAAATGTTTGGTTTTTCTCAGAGCTTCTACTATTTTGTGCTCTTCAAATATCTCTCTGTGTTTGTGTTTGTGTGTTGTTAAACATGGAAAAGAGAGTGCACAGGTTAAATAAAGCATATTAACGAATGGCTTGACCCATTAAACCTTCTAATAATTTTTTTTGCAGTTGCATGCATTTAAGTTAATGGCAATATAAAAAGATGAAATCAGTGGAGATTTAATAAAGAATGAAGATGCTTTTTTTAGCAGATGGCATACTGATTGTTTGCATGATGCATTCATGTCATATAAAAGATAAAATATTTACTTGAAGTGTTTTGTTTGTATTTTCTTAAGATAGTAGAAAACATCAAAAGACTGACCCAAAAAATCAAAAGCAGGGTCATATCTTATGAAAATATTTTGAGCCAGTTGGGGGTTTTAGGATAGAAAAAAGTGATTACTGTATGGGGAGGGAGGGGAATTATACTGGTATATAACCCCCCCCCCAAAAAAAGGTCCCAGGACCATAGATAAAATCTCCTTTCTGTAAAGTTTGCTAAAGCTTTCTGACCATAACTGATGATAATTAACAGCATTATGTCATCAATTTTGAGATGGATAACAGGTGAAAAACTGTATTCAAAGTCAAAAAGTACGAATATAACATTTTTTAAAAATCCAAAACAAACATCCAAATATTTTTCTTCAAACCCAGTTCCTCCCATCTACTTTGCAGCTCTGAAGCTTGTGGCATGTGATAATAAGGACATGATTGTTTCTGGGGGAAAAAAGTATGATGACTTGCTAAAATATTTTAGGAAACTAATATAGTCAAGAAAAAAAATATGAATTAATTTGAAGAGTGTGAAACTTAAAAGACATTCAAATCCTTCATGTAATAAATGTAATGACTAAATAAGCTGCCTTTGGATCGTGAATAACAGCTCATTTTTTCCACTGATCTTGATGAGATTCAAGGTTCTTCAGCTTTTAGAGAAAGGGATATAATTATCAATGCCACTTGTCTCATGTTTGTTGACAAAATTAAAATACATTGTTTTGCTCATGTAGGATGTACATCCACTTCCTCTTCTGATATGGCATCTTCTTCCATATCTTTCCTAGCATGCCATTTTCAAAACAAGCAGAAATGAATGTTTTGCAAAGATGTAAAGAAAAACATTCCTAAAAAGATAGTTCTTATTCCAACTAAGATAAAGTAAAAGGACTTAAGCAAACTCCAATCCACTTTTGAGATTGTTCAACAGTTCCCACAATCATTAGCCAAATTAGGTAGGGCTAATAAGGGTTGAAGAATGCTATAGGGTACCAGTTTATTTAACTCCACTATAAATAAAGGGCCTATTGACATAACCATTTACATGGTTCAGGTAGGAGGGATATGCATGCTTTATAAAGACAAAAATTAAGAAAATTGACCAAGCAATTAATCATGAGGTGATTACAGTTACCTAATTCCCACGGTCTATTAACTCTATGGATCTGAGGGTTAATTGTCCCTTCTGACTTCTGTTATTGAGGCAAAGGCCTAAAAATGAAAATGTAACCTTATAGAATCATAAAGTTGGAAGGACTGCAATGGTCATATGGTTCAATTTCTTGCCTTTCTATATCCTTTGTGGCCATTTTGGTCTTTATCTTACCTCACTTCTAATGGGTTTGAAAAAAGGGACAGAAATGGAAAGGAATGATTCCTTTTAACCTTGTCAGTAGCACTACCACCATCAATCATTGTGCCACCACAACTGAAGAAGGGGAAAAAACCAGGAAGTGGGCAGTTAGGTAATACCCTCCTAGCCTTTTTGTAGTAGCTGTATCCTACTGCATAGTAATCCTGAATAGTGTGCTGTGTGTTGCTGCAGCACAAAGTTGAAGTAATTGGCTCAGTATTGCTTACATTTCAAAAGCAAGTGAATGTGCTTTGGTAGAGTTCATTCACTACATTCCAAAAGGTAAATGATAACAATAGATCACAGTGAATGAAAATGTTTTTCATGGCTTTTATAGAATCTCACATGCTGCTATGTACACATTTTAGGTTACTCCTTAGAATTCTTGTGAGCTCTAACTGCAGAATATATATTCCTGTTTTTGCATTCAGCAAATATAATTTCACTTTATGATGGCCAGTTATGTGTGGAAAATTCTTTCCTCTCTACTTCTATATACAAGGGGTTTTGTAATATGCATAATACTGTGCAGAACTGAGGAAAAAAAGGATACATACTTTTTACAGTGATACTTCAACTTCTAGAGATAAATCTGGGGAATCTATAAACTTGAAGATGTTCTTAAACAATAACTTCACTAATTCTTGACCATCGCTTGAGGCTTCATTTAATCTTCAAGATATTTATGCTTATTTTAGGTGGAGGAAAATTTTTAATTTCCCAGTGATAGAAAATTCATTTTAACTTGTCTGTTGATCTTCTGATCAGTAAGATCAAGTCTCCATCTTGTTGCCAATGGGTCAGGGCTCCTGTTGAACTTGCAGAAAAATAACCAGAGGCTGTTTTGTCCAACATGGGAAAAAAATATGGATATCATGTTTCTCATTCAAGGAGCCACTTGGTTCCTTATGTTCATCATATGCCCTTGACTCTTATTTGAATCAGTCAATGTTTAGCAAGCATAAAATGAAAACTGGACACTACCACTGCTTTTTTTCTGAATAACAATAATAATATTTTCCATACAAAGTGTTATTCCATACATATACTCAATCAAGAACTAATTTGAAATGCAAAGATCCACAAACAGGTTTCTCAATGCAAGACAATTCTATCCAAAAACACTGAACTGAATCAGATGTTCATTCTGTAGCCCTCATTAGCTTGGATGAGGTGTAAGCCCAGGAAAATTTCCTATTACCGCTTGTGTCTGCTGGTAGCCACCCATTAAGGTACTTCAAATGTTTTCCATATTTAGCCCATTCTCTTGCAATCTATATAAAGTTTAATATACAAAACAAAATGAAGGCTAGAGAGAAGTTCCCTGAAGATGGGCTCCAGCACAAGTCCGAAAGCTTGGAAGACAAAGCCTCTGGTCCTGGTGACCGACTCAGGTTGGATTCTGCAACATTATCCTGGGACACATATGTTCACCTTCATTTGCAAAAAATGAATATTTATCTTCTGGGATTGCAACTTTTCAACTTTCCTACACATAGATCTTCTCTGACACATTGATCTAGACTAGACTGCAATCCTATTTATTCCTACTGAAGAGTAAGTTTCACTGAGTTTAATAGAGCTTATTCTAAAGTAAATTAATCTAATATTTCAGCCATTATTGATTTAGTTAAAACAAGTATGTTCTGAGTTTCTTGTAAAAAGCTCAAGTAGACTATTGGCTTTTGAAATATATAGGAAAGGAAGTGTCATAGATCAGAGTTCCCCAACCTTTCTGGCTTTGTCGACCCGCGGGGATGGGTGGGAGAGGAGATGGTTCTGCATGAGCAGCAGGCTAGCATGTATGCAGCTTCATTTGCGTGAGTGGCATGCATGCATGCCCGCCGCTCACACAAATGGAGAATGAATGCATGTGCACACCTGCTGCTCACGCAAGTGGGAATGCACATGTATGTACGTGATTGCCCACCATTTCCATGGCACAGTTCTGAATGGCTCAAGGCACGGTAATGGGGCATGGCCTGATAATTGGGGACCTTGTCATAGATGACATATTAGATGCCATTCAGTAATGAAATTAGCAGGTAACTTTGGACTATTTACATCAGGGGTGCCAAACTGGTGGATGTGTCACGCACAGGACACACCCACCCCGGTTCCACAAAGGCAAAAAAAAGTGGGATACGTCACGATACGTCACGTGACATGATCGAGTTTGACACCCGTGATTTACACTTTCACAGCTTAACATAGCTCACACAGTTGTTGTGAAGAAAAGATAAAGGGGGACTCTACCTTGAGTTCCCAGACCAAAAACATATACCAATGAAATACCCTTTGGCTACAGTCTGCACAGCGTGTGGCTTACGGCCAAATATTATGTTTTATACTGTCCAAGAAAAACCTAAACTATCTAATCAGAATCCTTTACAATGAAAAACAGTAAAAACAGTAAATTGTGTTCAATAGGTACACAACTTCTGTCAGATCAAGATTCTCACCCCTAAAGTCAATGTGGCCAAAGTCTGGAGACAGGGTTTCAGGAGTTTCAATGGATAAAACAAATTCCTTTTTTAAAAAATGACGTTGTAATTTTTTTATTTGTGGCATAAAATAACCAACAAATAAATATTATACAACAGCCAATTAAAATTATTAAATATAAATTAAAACAAGGTGACAAAAGGGATTACAGGGTCGTAAAAAAAGGAGTTAGAGTTTTTAGAAAAGGTAACACATCAAAATAGTTCACATGATGCAGCAGTTGGGGGATGCAGTTCCAAAAATAATTTCCTAGGTCCCACCAGAACTTCTTAGCAAACCAGAACTGCACGATGCCTCTCCTGGCAGATCAGATGGAACAGGTAGCTGTAATCAGAGAGAGGTGGTTCTCGGATAACCTGGCTCCATGCCATGTAGGACTTTAAAGGATAAAACCAGCACCTTAAATGGTTATCTGGAAACAAACTGGTAACAAGTGCAGCTCATGAGCAGAGGTATAATGTGTGTCCTTTCAGGGACACATATCACTGCCCATGTTACTGCATTTTGCACCAGGGCAGCCCCATGTAGAATGCATTACAGGAATCCGTTTGGGAGGTGACCATGGTATGGATGATTGTGAGCAAAGCCCCACAATCCAAGATCAGGTACAACTAGCACATAACACAAAGTTACACAAAGGGAGGAGAAATTCAAAATGAATGAAAAAATTATGAGAATACACATAAATGTCTCTGATTTGATGTAGAAAAGAGCTAAAATGCATTTACAGATAGGAACAAATGAGACTAAGCATAACTAAAATGGAAACACTCTCTTTCTGCTACTTAACTATATGCC